GGCTGGGGGTCAGGCTAGATGATCTGTTCAGGTCCCTCCTGACCCTACCTACTATGAAACTATTAAACTATTAAACTTCTCTGGTAGTGATCCCTACCTTGCTTCCAGACACATGCAGCCATGAATCTTTGCCCATAACTTTTTTTAGCTATGTAGGCTCAGGAATGGTTAGTGATTGGATGAATATATCTAGGGGGTGGCAAGTGGTGGTTGATTCCCTGTCATTCACTCCTTTCTGACTTGCTGTTGAATCCAGGTCCTAGGAAAGTGGTGTTCAGCTGCAGGAGATGCTGCCGTTTGAGCTGCATTCCATTGATGAAAGAAGGCATCCCCATGTGTATTGTTTATAACATTTTTTGACCATTCTGGGATTAATTAAGCCGTTACTCATTACTGGTACTTTGAACTTTCATTAAGTTACCACAGTGACCTGACCTTCCAGGTACTTGGTGGTTCCATTTGTCCTGTGCCATTTCAGTTAGGTGAAAATGAATATTTGTCCTCCCTATTCTAAAAACAGCTAACTCCCTCTGACCAGCTAGCAAAAATTGGGTGCAGTACATCTCCTACCAGGATGTTACCCTCTATAGAAAGGTTGTACATTGCCTTCCAGCTGGGGCTCAAAACAATTTATTGTTAGAAGTATTGATGTTATCTAGGCCAGGAATTCTCCAGCTTTCTCATGCTTTGGGCTATTTTGACAGAGACATCCCTTTTCATGAACCCATTTGCCCTCTCAATATCCCAATTCCTCCATAGTTTGCTCTTAATATATCTACTTTTGGGGACTATCAGGAACAGGCTCATAGAGGAGGAGCAGACTTGTGGATTAGGGATCAGGATTTGGATTCAGTTCCCCCATCTGCCAGACTTCCTGGGTGACCTAGGCCAACTTATTTCATCTGACAAGTGAAGGTAGTATTTCCTTTCTCCTGTTCTTTCTCCATAGTTGCCTTTTTAGACTGTATGCTGTTTAACAATACATAGGCATGCTTCCCCCTGCCCCTCCTCCCACCAGATGCATGTACAACATCCAATAGGTCAGGGAATCTTCGCCTCACTGGGCTCATCTACACAAGACACTGACTGCGCAGTAGTGGAAGAATACTGTGCAGCAGTGTGTCACAGCAGAGATAGAGCTAATATGCTACTGCACAGTAGCGTAACCTAAAAGACGTTCACCAGCTCTACTGAGCAGTAATTGCGCTTACTATGTATTTAGCACTTACTAATACAAGTATTAATAAATAGGCAGTAACAACTGTGTTGTAGTGTATCATGTAGATGCGTCCACTGTAATACAGATGATCAATAAGAGATCATAAACTAAGAATACCTGGTACACAGGGGGAGCCTTCATTCCACTTCATGCAGTTGACGCACTATTATTAACAATAATATATCAAGTGTTTCTGCTAAAGAGACAAGGCTGGAGAACTACCTGGCCTGAAAGAATAAGAGGTGAGAGTGGTTATGGGAGAGATGCCTTTCCCACGGTATGAGTTATTGTCTTTGTTAATCAAGTGCTGGCTCCCTCTGCTCCCTCTCACTTATCCCCTCTTCCTTCTTTACAGGTCTTTGGTCAGACACCCATTTACATAACCAGTATTCGCCAGTGGTACCTGTGGCCAGAGTTACCATGCTCCCTGGTAAGGCAATAACCTTTACAAGATGTAGCGGCAGGCTGAAGCCGCTTGCCCAGGAAAAGAGTTGGGCAAAGAGGAAAAGACCAAAATGGGGGTGGGCAGAACAACCAGGATCTTAAGCTCAAGACTTCCTGAGGGTGGCTCCCCTTCCCTTTGTGCTCTTATTGTGTGTATTCAGTTGGGTGAATAAACCTGGGAACAATCAGAAGCAGGTGCAACAAAGGTCTGGATGCTGGGGAAGTACTATGAGCTTGAGCCAATAGTCAGTAGAAAGGTCCATGATGACTTCAAGGCAGGTTGCATAAGGCCCCATGTGCAGAATGTCCCTATAATTTGGGAGCATCTGGGCCTCCTGAAGGACATTCCATCCTGAAATAGCCAAGACTTAGGACACTTATCCTAAGCAATTGCTTATAAGGTCCTTCTTTCTCATAGTTACAAGTAGAATTCACCTGTCCTTTGACATTAATGATCTCTGATGCTCACCTTGGAGACAGCCCACTTCCCCTGTGTATTAGCTGTGTCATGAGAAAGTCACCACAACTTCCCTCCTCCCCAGCTTGGCTTCATGGACCAGAACACATCCCTCCTCTCACAGAGGCAACCCCAGAGGCACCAAGAGAGTCATGCCCCCCCTGGCGCCAGAGGTTTACTATATTGAAAAGTTAATGCAGAAACAAATTCTACCAGGCTTTGCACTGTGGAAGTTTTCCAGGCACCTAACTACTAGAGGGTTCTTGTTTAACAAAGTCAGCTAATGAAGTGACACCAGGGGTAGATCCTTCCATCACAGTCTAATCAGTCTTTTATGGGGAAAATACAGGTACCAAAGTACAAAGGTTTATTGACATGGATGGAGAAATACCGGCTGCCACATTTCTGCAAAACCAACCTGTGCCTTCATTACATTCTCTGTCAGAAGCTTCTCAGTTTCATTAGATCCAAGGAGGCTGGTGAGTTGTGACAACCCTAAAAGTCTCTTACTCATGATAGCTTTTGACATGCAAGCAGTTGCCTTTTCTCTATTCAGTTGTTGTCTTCACCTTTGGTGTATGTAGCTGTGGTCTGAATAGATGAAAATAGTGTGGGTACCAATATTTATAAAATTTTTAAACTTTCATGTGTGGGGAAAATCATTTTTTTTTAAATGGGAAAAGATAATTTGCTTAGTTTGTTTTCATATGCAAGTTGCTTGGGTGCTATGGGAAAGAGAGTCATAAAAATCACCTAGATAAAGGGACAGAGAAAGTTTAAGCCTCCATGGTTAAACACTTGCATATTGCAAGGTAAGAGCAGGCAGGCAGTTAGTGTGGAGCAGATGATGCACAGTGAATCCCTGCCTCCTTTGAACTCTACAATTTGTTTCCTTGTCCATAGAATCAAGAGAGTGATGTTAATCCTAAAACTATGAATACCCAGCCCATCTTGTCTTTGTACTGAATTCTGCTTCTTTCAGCCTAGGTTTAACATCAGATAATAAAAAGATTTGTGGTGAAGCCCCAAGTTCAGGCAAAAAAGGAAATGGGTTGGTGAGAATGGGGGAAGGGTAATGGCTGAACGTAGAGGACATGGGTGAGTTTTTACATGTTGGTATGAAAATATGCCTGGCATCCGCAGTGGAAAATTATCAACTGGTTCATAGTTTGCAACTGAGTTTTGGAACAGAGCATAGATTCAGGATCTGACTGTTGGCCTTGTAACAGAAACCAACAGAGATCAGCTGAAGGATTCTGGTAGCATATACTTGTACATGTACACACTGAACAGCTGCCTGTTGTGATGCTTTCTGCTCTCATGCAGCAGAGATGCTGAGATGGAAAAGGGCAGACCAATGGCTGCTGGAAAAGTGCATTAGCGGTACACGAGGGATGTGGCGCTTTCGTTCCTTCCTCCAAGAAATGGCAGGTAAGCATACAGTTTCCCTCAGACTGGCCTCTACTACCCTATGGATCCTCACTTATATGCAGACCGGCAAGCTCTGCAGCAGGACAGTGGGTGGCTGGTGTAACTTAGAGATGTATATCAAACACAGTGAGCACTGAGGACACTATATAAGATACTACCCTGGATAAAAGAGTGCCCTGCTGAAGATAAGCCTGGAGCACAAGTGCACTGAATCCCACTGCCTTGCAACTGTCACAGGAAGCCAAAATGAGGGTTTCCAATTTTATACCAAAAACTGTTGAGAAACAGGGTCACAAGCCAACAGGATGGGAAGGAATAGACAAACACAAATAGGGAAACATTAGCAGAGACGTATGTACACTTAGGAACTAAATAGCAGATAACAACCAGTAGCATTGTGGTGTATCCACTCAGGGACCAGTAACTGATAGCATGAACTACAACTGTAGTGCAGATACTCCGTAAGCCTGTGTCCTCCAAGACCTCCAGGCTAGGGACAGCAATTACACATAAATTGGTATAAGTGACTGGAAACTAGTTCAAATCTGTAATGCAACATAAGTTCAATGCATATAAACTGCTTTCAAAGTGGCTGAAACCAGTTTAAGATAATCCTGCATGGATGTAGTCAGAGGCAGCAGAAGTGGGGGCTAATGGGGCTTATTCCCCCCAAACGCGGGGCAGTGGTAGGGCTGCAAGGCAGCCTGGCTGCCGGTTTCTAATGCATGCAGCCCGGGGTGGGGGGGCAGGCACGGCATGCAGGCAGCAATGAGGGAGGCAGTGGGGCTGGGGCAGGCCCTGCATAGCTAGCATGAGGTGTGGAACTGAGTCGCAAGCAGATCATCTAGGGGGCACAGCTCCTGCTGCTACATGCATCCTGGGAGGCATGGGGGTAGGTGTGTGCCCCCAAATCTACATGGGGCAGGGCAGGCTGCAGCTGTAAGCTGGGGCCGGGGTAGCATCGGGCTCTTCCCAGTGTGGGGGTTGGGCCACACTGTGCTTGGGGCAGATGGGGGGGGGGGGTGGGGGGGGGGGGGGGTGTGAGCCTGCAGCCATGCCAAAATTCACTGTAACCCCCAAACAACCTCCCAGCACTGCTGCCACCTGCCGCGAGTGCAGCATAGCCCAAACCCCCCCAGCACAGCCCTGGCCCCAGCCCACAGTGGCAGCCCGCCTCCCTCCATGCAGGTCCTGGGCACACACCCCACCCCTTCCCTCCTGGGGTGCGTGCAGCAGCAGAAGCCGCCAGCCCCTCCCCACACTGGGCCCCTCCCCCCTGACAAGCTGCTCGCGGCTCCATCCTGCACCCCACCCCAGCTGTGCAGCACCTGCCCCAGCCCTAGGTCCACTCCCACCTACCCCCAATGGCCCTTTCCCCACAGACTTGTATGCTGAGGGGGCACACATGCACTCCGCCCCTCAAATAATTTTTTCTCCCTCCTCCCATAAATGTAGTATCATACTTAACTGATTTAGGTTAAGCTGGTTTATTGAACTTCTGCCCAAGATTCCCTCCAGATGCAAGTTAACTCAGTCCCCCAGCATCCCATGATGCTTTGCACTTCCCCAGCAAACCCTGCTTTTGCAGGATGGGCAAACTAGCCTTGGCCCAGGTTGTCTGCTCCAGCTGAGAAGGGAGGCATGCTCTAGACCCCCCGGCTTCTGGCCCAAGCCGCTGCAAGCTAGGGTGGCCATTATAGAAGACAGTCTGGTTTTCCTCTGTCCTCTATTGATATGAAACTGAACGCCTTTATGTCCTCTATTTTTCTCTTGAAGAGTATCTTCTCTTGAAGAGAAAAATAGAGGACATAAACGGCGTCGGGTTTCATATCAGTAGAGGACGGAATAGCAGAAGATCAGAATGTCCTCTATGATGGCCACCCTACTGCAAGCATGTGGCTGCATTTCCAGAACAAAAGAGAATGTCTCTTTGCTTGCTTATTGATTTAATCTATGCAGGTTAGACTAACCTGAGAAGACTGAATCAATTCAGCCTTGGGCTTTTTGATTGTCTGTACTTAGCTCTGGAGGTACCCCTAACCAGTAACAAGTCTCAGTCATGAGAGCGCTCTCAATTACTGTCCTCACATCTGGGTCCTGCTGCCACAGACCAACAGCCCTGGGCTCAATGCTGCTCCAGCATCTCCAGCTGTTCTCCCTGTGCTGCTCAGGCCTGCATCCTACTGCAACTCCCCCATACTTTGTCACTCTGACCTGCATTTTTTTGCTGCTCCTTGCTTCCTGTTCTATGTCTCCCAGCTCACAGGATTTCTAGGAGCTGCAGTTTCATGCTTAGCAATTCACATTCAGTCAGCACACAGTAACTCCCCCTGCTGTCACACATTTAGCTTACACAGTACATTACACAAGTTTTGGTCCAAAATGCCACCTCAGCTGACATAGGTTTAGATCAGACAGCCCTAGCTAATCTCTGTGCTTTACTCTGCTGCTAGAAGGTCTTTCCTTTCCTCTGCTTTAAAATACCGGCTGTAGTCTCTCTCAGCAGTGCTTTCAGAGGGTGCATCTACATGTGCAATTAATTTGAAGCAATGAACTCTGGAGCATCTTAAGCCAGAAACTACTCCCATGTACAACATCTACATGTGAGCCTGAGACAGCAGCAATTTGACCTGGTGTGGAGCAGTTTACGCCAGAGGCACTCCAGCCTGGACTCCAGGTGGCAGTGTTGGGTGGCAGAAGGGCTGGCTGGGGCACAAGGACATTGAAAGTGCAGAGCCATGTGTCTGGGCAGCAGGAGGAGTCTGATCTCTAGCTGGCTGGGCATCCCAGGGTAAGATAGGACTGTCCCCAGGGTATATGGACAGTACTATCTTACTGCAGTGTTAATTAGTTTATTGCAGGCTAATACCATCTAATGTGTAGACAGTGACACTTTACTCTGCAGCTAATTAGTCTATTCCACAGTTAAGCGCATGTCTAGATATGGCCTCTAGTCTCTCTCAACCTGCCTGTCCAACACCCTCCCTCCATTTTCTCTTTCCCCACTACCCACTCCCAATTCAACCATGCTGCTCTGAATCTGATTCACAGGGGAAGAACTGATCAAGTTTTGGCTGGCTACAGAAAGGCTTCTGGAGATTGATGAGTCAGACGCTGTGCAGAGAGAGCTCTACTTGTCTCTGCTCCAGGTGCTGAAGGCCACTTATTTGCAGGAGGGTTCTACCGTTGTCACCCTCTGCAACAGGACTATAGGTAAGATCATCTGAGATGGGTCAGAACTCGCAGGAACTGCACCGTTCCAGTGGGTCAGTGCACTTTCTTGTCACTCTGAGTATCCCATGCCACACTTGAGGACAGAAATGTCATGACCTATTTATTGGAGGGGGTATGTTGAGCATAAGGCTGACTTCTGTTGGTCCACCATGCAGAATGATCAGCAATATTGTGAAGTTCCAAAGTGAAACATGCTCCTTTCACCCCAGAAGAGAACACCCTCTCCATCTGCTTGGGCTTAAAAAGCAGGTAGAGACTGGAAATAAGTGACCAATCTGTTTCCTTATGCCACAGGAAGGAATTCTTCCATGGCATGGTAAAGCAGACTGATGCTGGAAGGAATAAAACTGAAGACTGAATTCTCACAGCTTCCTTTAGCAAGGATGATTCTGTCTTTCCTGGGATCAGGCCTGGTGGAGCTTATGATCAAATTACTACAGAGCACAAGCTGATCTGAGACTTTTATTCATAGAAAGCCTTGCCAGGGTTATGACCCTGACACTGGGACTGAACTGTATGTATGTGCATATAAGATAGCTTGGGACTCAAGACTTGGGCTAGGGACAGAAGTTACACATAAACTGGTTTAAGTGATCAGAAACTGGTTTAAACCAGTAACAGAACATAAGTTCAGCGCACATAAACCAGTTTCAAAATGGCCAAAATTGGCTTAATATAAACCTGGTTGAATGTAGTATCAGACTTCACTTATTTGTGTCAAACCAGTTTATGGAACTTCTGTCCCAGATCCCTTCCTGGTTTAAATTAAATCAGAGTCCCCCAGCATGGTTTTCAGCCCTAGGCTGGGCTGTCTGCTCCAGAGAGCAGGGCTGGCCCCACCCCTCTCCTCCCTAGCCAGAGCTACGGCTGGCTAAGAAGGGAGCAGGGGAGTGCAGCCAGGATCTGCCTGGCAGCAGCACAGCAGCATCTCCGGGGATTCCCCCGCATCCCCTCTCCCACAGCAGGGACCCCAGTGGCATGGACCTCAGTTAGCATCTGGCCACGCCACCCCCAAGCTAGCTAATGCTGAGAGATGTCTATGTGTGTGTGTCTCCAATTTCACTGGAACAAAGGCAGACAGAACAGTGCCAACTAACGGCTTTCTGGAACTAATCAGCAGGTCAGGTGGTAATGTCTATCACCCAGCTGCCCTCCCTCCTTTCTTCCTGAGCAAGAAGCCAGTGGCTTGCAAACGCCTTGCAAAGTGTCTGTACCCCGAGGTAAGAAGAGCTTGAACTAATGAAAGAGAGGCTTTTGTTTTCTTGATGGGCTGATACATTTTGTGTTCTGATAAGCTTCCTGCTGGCTTGCTTCAAAGTCATCAAAAATGCATCTCAGACCTTGAAACCCTTATATCAAATAAAGGGTCACTATGCAGCAATTAATGCTGGTGATTGCTTCTACACGTCAATTATTGAGCCTGGTTAGAGTGAAGCTTCCCCGTTCCACAATCTGTCAGTCTTCAACAGGGGACAGAGAGAGGTATAAGAAATGACCTGGTTTACAACAAATGGGACCTAGTAGTACTGTCAGTTTGAGATTTAGGCAAATATGAAGCACTAGCTAGCAGGATAATACAAATGCATGTAGTCCACACAAGCGGCTCCTCCCTCCCTCCACCCCTGCACCTCCCCTTTGCCGCAGAGTGCTAGGTGGGACCAGGGTCTGGCATCACTCCTTGCCCCTTCCGCAGTGAGTGGGGGAAAAGCCTGGCAATGACCACTTTCCCCTTTCCCTCCAGGCACACCCTGGCTGGGGACTGTGCAGGCCAGGGTGGGGGTTTAAACCCCTCCCTAATCATAGCGTTCTCCTAGGGCCTGGCCACATCCCTTCCACAGTGCTAAGTGGAGGGGGGGAGGGAAGGGAAGGGAGGGTTGCTCTAGTGCCCCCCCTGCTTCTGGCCTGAGCCACTGCATTTTCTGAATCAAAAGCTATCCACTTGCAAATCAGTTCAATCTACACAAGTTAGACTAACCTGTAAAGATTGAATCAGTTCAGGCTTGGATTTTTTGAATGTCTGTCCCTAGCCCAGAGCTCAGGTCTAGGAATCAGCTGGCTTGTGTTCTGTTCCTGACTGCCACTGATTTACTCTGTGACTGACTTACCCCATGTGGAAAATTGAGGGGCAGGGACCCTTTACATTCCTGTGTGAAGCACTTTGAGATCTAGGAATGAAAAAAGCAGACTACAAAGTTAAGTGGTGATGTTGGCTCCTGTTTCAAATCAGTTTCTTGTTGCTGTAAACACCAAATTCTATTCTGGATCTATTACTAACTGTTCTTCTGTATATTAGATGCTTTTTGCATGTAAAAAGTCTCAATTTAGTATAATTTTTTTTTAAAGTCTTAAAGTTAACTTGGAACTAGGAATGTAGATTTGAAGGTGCTGCAACAAGTCTCTGTAGGAACAGCTTAAGATATAGTGGAAACAAGATATGTGATTATTTTTTAGTCCCACAAAGTTGTCTCTCACAGGGGAGCCACTTTTCACTTTTTATGTCACCTCTCACACCTGCTCCATGTGCTCATTTTTTTCCCCCAAAGATCTTGCTGGAAGCTCTTGCAAAGTCTGATCCAAGGTCACCACTGACTCTCCTGGTTTATGGCTCAAGCCCCTACTGTCCGTCTATAATTCCTCATGTCCTTTTCAGAGTCTCTGTTGAAGATCTCTGACTGGCACCCTCAATACACAAGTACCAGGAGAGAGATCCTGAGTGAGATGCAGAAACTGGCCCTGTTTAAAGTTCAAAGTTACTGGCTTCCTAACTTTTTCATTCATTGCAAACTGTGCATAGAGAAGGAGGAAGAATGCCAGCCACTACTGCAAGAGTATCAAGACCGTTTGTTATGGGTGGGCTTGCGGGAGAAGCTCGTGTCTCCAGCTTCCACAATGAGCATACGCAAGAGCCAGGACACATCGGAACTCTACTGCAGCAGAAAAGCCAAGGAGGAGACCTGGAATCTCATAATTTCTGGGAAAAGAGCTGAAGAAACAGGGAAACCTACAAGTTGTGGGTTGCAGCCAGAGGGAACACCAGGGCCAGCTAAGAGTGCAAGTGGCTTAACAGACCCAGAGGCACTGCAGACTAAGGATGATGTCTCAAGAAATGAGTCTCAGCAGTTACAGCCTCCTGAAAAGAGCATTAGTGAGACAGGAGGAGAAGAGGCCACTGCCAAAAGTCCCAGCCCCAAATCCCAGTCTCCTCTTCAAGTGGAAGAGCTCAGCAAAAAGAAACCCCTATTTGAAATACATGCTTCCACACCTGTTGTCCAGCTGCCATCACTGCTAGCCCTGAAAAAGATACTCAAGTCCTCTCCCTCTTTAGATCTCCTGCACTGGGTACTTAATGCTGACAGCTGTGCAGGATGCCCCTTCAGGGAGTTCTTGAAGCGCAGGAATCATACAGTGGAGACCCATCTCTTGGATCTGTGGCACGATCTGGAGGACTTTCTGAATGTAGTGCTGAGTTCCAGCAAAGGAGGAAGCTTTCTGCTGCGGCACTTGTTGAGTGCAAGGATATCCGAGACCTACTTGACAGAGAACAGCCAGCAACTTCCCTTGGAGCTGAAAACTCTCAGAAATTTGCGTGACCTTCTGCCTTCTGGAAAAGTCATTCCCTGGATATTAAAAACACAGGAAGAAATTTGCAAGGTAGGAAATGCTGACCGTGATGCTGGTATTGGGAAGAGTAACTGGTACTCCTCACGTGATAGGTGTTACAATTAGATCATTCTAATTTGTAACTCTGCAAATCTGAGTGCTAGGGTATCTGGTGGAACCTCTCCTATGTACCATGCACATATGCAAATGCAGTAGCTAGACTTTATGACCCTGGAAGGCGTACTTTAGGACATTCGATTCTGAACCAGAAACTCCCAAGTGGATGTGGAATAAATCACAAATGGATAGGAGGCCAAATCTCCAAAGGTTAGCACCTACATTTTGTCTATTTTACCTGCACACATAGCTGGCATGCATGACAAGCCTGCCTTTACATCAGTAAATGGAAATTAGTGCACATAACATGGGTACCTAGATGAGCAGCTACCCATTAACTGATCCAAAAGTGGATTTCATGGGTGCAACATAAAGCCTTTTTTAAAGGCTTAGTACCTACATTCAAAGGTAGGGAAGAGGGAAGGTAAATGGAGGTGCAAGAATCAAGTAAGCAGAATTACCCCAGGGTTGCCATGAAGCTTTAGTAGGGACATTGCTCTGAGCTGAAAACAACTATATTCTGTTTTCTCCAACTTTCTCTTTCACTCCACATGAGGCAGGGTGGGTAGCTTGGGAGGCTGAGCTAAGGATCTGTTCACATCAAGGCTACTGCTTTCATTGTGATAGATGTTTGTGACCAAAAGTTGTTATAAACCAGTAGTCCTCAGGCAGCCAGTGTGACATGCGAGTTGAAGGGCTTAACCCAGTTGCATTAGAAAAACCACCACTGGAACTGAACCTTTTGTTAGTGGTCTCAGCCACTAAGAAGTGTTGAGCAGGCATTCCCTTTCATCCCTAACCACTGCATGTCCAGGGCAGGGTTAAGGTTCATGGATAGGGCAGCATGCTCCGCTGCTACCCAGAGTACCCTGCACCTATGCAGCATAGCCTTTACACTTTTCCCAGCACAATGCACCTATTGTTGTAAAGCTCCTCCTTGACAGCCTAAAAGCCAAGGGCTCCAACCACTACCAACAGAGACACGGGCTAACAATGCATCTCCTTGTTTACTCATCAGATCCTCAGCTGCTTCTATGATGAGTTCCTAGATGATGATGATGAAATATTCCTTCGGTTTGTGGTAAGAGACAGCTGCTAGGGGGACACAGATTGCTTGACCACGTAGGTCTGAGCATGCTTGTGTTAGAGCGCAGGCAGGACTGCCCAGAGGCTATGTGTACAACACACCACTCCATCTGTACATGCCTGGGAAAGCATCAAGTGAGGTATTACTGTTGTGCATGTGGCTGTGTAGAAGAGACTATTTTACTCTGAAGCAGCATCCTCAAATTTCTTAGCCAGTAACCCCAGTAATTTAGCAGTTACATGCAACGTTAGACATGCATCTTGGAACACCTGCTCTTGGTTAACCAGAGACAACCAAGAATACAGAGAGAAACAGCTTTTCAGAGCAGAAAATAGGAGCCAAACCCATATGCAAACCAGGGACTAGGATACTGATCAGAAAACTTACAGGAATAGATTCTATACAGAAACCATCCTTTTTCTTAGCACAGTAATGGGCACTGATGTTTAGGCAAGAAATGAAAAAATCTGCATGCATAAAACACGCCCATAATTAGTGTCTTGATAGTGGGGAAGATCATCTAGCCTTATCTTCAGTTGTATCTATGTTTTCACACTTTTTTCCATGCCCTAAAGAGTAATTTAAGGAACCAAATTCCATAAGGTATTTCTCTTACTTGATATGAGAAATTCCACAAAGCCAGGTCCCACGTTGTATTAACTCCACAAGTAGCATCCTGCTGCAAGAAAGTCTTGTAAAAAAAACATCCCACAAATAGACAGGAAGATATTCTAGTTAATTTTGGGGCCCTGTAAAAGCCATATAAATAGCTTTGTTGACTCAAGGCAACTGCTTTTACATGGCTCTGGAGTCCAGGGGATGAGCACTGCTGCTCTTTGGCTTTCCCCTCCTTTTTCTTCTCTCACTGAGCTCAGCAATAGGGGAAAGGAGGGGACTTTTGGACTCTAGAGCTGTGTGAAAACAGGGCCTCTGGGCAGACCCTGCACCAAGAGCTCACAGTCAAATGAAGTGGGGGAATAGGGGAGTGCAACCACACTGCAGCACCCCCTCTAGATCCATTCCTTATTAGGTGTATTGGGGGAGGAGAGTCTCTCCTTTCCCTAATGAAGAGGAAGGAGAGTCTTAAGGCTAATACAGAGGACTAGGTAGATCTGGGTTCAGTTCCTGGATGTACTGCAGATTCCATGTGTGACCCAAGGCAAGCTGAGGGATAGCATTACTACTTTTCTCTCACCCTTTGTTTCTCTTGAACATTTAGACTAGGGTGTTCAGGACAGAGGCTGTCTCTGTACAGCATCCATCCATCATGATGGGTCCTCCGGCAGTACTGGAATACAGATAGTAATAATAAACATGAGTACCAGTTACTGTCTGAGCTCCACTGTCCTCAGCAGAAGCACCCGGTGTGGCCTTGCCCATGTGTAAGGATGATCATGTCAGGAACGTTCACAGCGCTTGAAACAACTGATAAGTTGTTGGTTTCTTCTAGCAGAGTAGCTCCTAGGATGTCACCCAGGCTTTGTGGAATCAGTCTTTTCCCTTTGTGCTGTAGTCTCAGATAAGCAGCATTCAGAAGCCTGCAAGACAAGAGAAAACTTCTGAAAAAATTGAACGCTATCTGCTGGCCAAGAGGACAAATGAATCTCTGACCCTGAGCCAGGTCTTAGGAGGAGCCAGGGACTTTGAGTCACTTTCAGATGAACACTGGCGCCTAATAGCTACTGAGGATCTCACAAGAGGTGGATCTATCTGGATGGAATTGGAGCCTGTTGTGCACAAGATAGGTAAAAAGAGTCTCTTTTTCTTTTGGTTGGGGGCTCAGACACACTCAGCTGTGTAATCAGCATCCACATCAGTCTGGGAAAAGGCTGAAACACAGAGCAAACCTAGAGTTACAGTGATTCCTCTAGTTAACTTGACATAAGCATTGAGGTTCTTGGAGAGTTTCCCCAGCTATTGATTTGTTGAAAATATTTAAAACATTTTACAAAATTAGTTTTCTGGAAAAATCACCCTGTTCCTCTGCAGGCATATGGAGTGGCTGAAGTTTTGCAAAACAAATTTGACAGTCAATTTTAGCCAAACCAATCCTTCAAACTTTTGACGTTAGAGATTAAATTTTCTGTCATTGATCTCAGCCGAAAGGTGCATTTAAATTTTATTTTTGCTAATCATCATTCGGCCTTTTTTGAGCAGGAAAGAAAATACATTTTGTGCCACATGTTATAATACTCTGTTTGAACAACTCAGAGGAAAATGGCAGCCTGTGGAAGTTTGGTACTGGAAATATCCCTTGCTAAAAGTTCCACTTGATGATCTAGTGAAAGCAGATACTGATTTCACCAAATTATGAGGGGTTGCAAAGTATGGATCTTGCATCTGTATTGGTCAATACCATTTACTGTGCAGTCTTTGGCAGGCAGACTCCCAATATTTCATTGGCCTCAGAGACATAACCAACCAGTTTTGACCCTGGGCAAACTCTTGCCGGAGAGCAGGGAGCAGATGTGGGGAGGGTGATTAGTTTTACCTGCCCTCCTGGATGCAACCTGCAGCCTGGATGTGCTGCAGCCTGAAGCCTGGATGTGCTGAACCAACACCCCCTCCCATCTTGGCCACGTGCCCTCAGTATGGCCTGCGACACTGTTTCCCACACCTTCTAACCAACACATGGATCTCTGTTTGAATTTGTGAGGAAGAGCCTTCTGGTACAGTGGGAACAATGCTGCTCATTCAGAGCATTGTGCAATGTGGTTCTGAGGCTTCAGTAGTGTTTGCAAAGGACAAAGCACCAGTATGCATTTTGAGGGGTGTCTGAGTTTTTGTGAACCAGGTATCCTAGTCATCCCACATCACAGTGGCGATTGGTTCATGGGACCAGGCTGGAGAAAGAATGAGATTTTCTAGTCCCAATAACATAACATCATCAATCATTTCTTTAAGCTTCCTCCCAAGGCTGATGGGCAACTGCAGCTAGGATGAACGAGTGGTTAGTCTATTCCCCTTTTCTCTCCTCTGCAGACTATAAGAAGATGACATTTGATGAGTTGGCCCTGAAGGATCCCTTGATAGCTGTAAAAATCTTAAGTGAAGACTATGGGTTCTTCTGTGCCAAGTTTCCTTTCCTTGGTATGTACTGCTTAACTAGAACTGTAGCAGACTTAAGGAGATGCTTGGGCAGTGAATAGGAGGCACAGTTTTAAAACTCTGTGACAAGACATTGAATGAATCCTGGAAAAGTCAGACAGTCCTTGCTCACTTGCTTCCCATGGTCTAGACTTGCTTCCCTCTAGGTCTAGGATATTGTCTCTAGAAGGAGGGAAAGGAGGAGAAATCTGGTCATTCAGAAAATCCAGTGCTCCAGACTCTGTGCCACAGTACAGGGGAAAGGGGAGGATTCCTAGTAGCCAGCCCCAGAAAGAGAAGACTATTCTCTGATAACAAATATCCAGAGCACAGTCTCTTTTGAGTTGACCTTACAGCACAGCCACTATCATCATGGGGATGAAGGTAGCACACAGCCCCAGTTTAAACCCTTTGGGACTCCTCTGCCCAGAGCTACATTGCTGTGTTAGCTGTCTGACAGCCATGTAATAGTGGGATGGGGGCATAACTCTATTCTCTCTGGAACAGCATTAGGGCCAGAACTTCCTAGAAGTATTTCCTCGAGCAAGATGAGCAAAAGCAGCCTGCGCTCAGGGAAGAGGAGTATCTTCTTGATAAGGAAACCATCCACCAGACCCAGGTATTGCACCACAGCCTAGGACTTGTTTACTTTCTCTCAACACCACTCTCTCCAGCATCAAGATTTCCAGACAGCTGCTGGCCAATTCATTTTCCTACAGGACCACTCCCACCTGCCTCAGAGACTGGGGCTCCCTGGAGACATGGATGGTGGGTGGGATCTGGGCAGGGGAATGTGGGAAGAAGGGGAATAAATTCCTTATTTTTCCCACCCTTCATATGTAACCTTCTTGCACATGAAACGTCTGCCCTATCATGAAAACCTAGGATCACACCCTAGCCTCCCAATGCACTTCTTTTTCCTTTCTTAGTTTATTCCCAGTGTAGCTGACTCCTCTTTAGCCCAATGGTACTGCATGGCTGCCACTGATCACTTGTGGTCTGCAAGGCATCCAAAGCAAATACTTTCAGGTGCCCAACAACAGTGCAGTGACTTTAAGCTTGCTCCTACTCCATCGTCTGGTTAGGGTCTTCTGTTCAGAACAACACCCACTGAGCCACTGGCACTCATTCTGGTCTCTTACGGTAGTGTAAATCCAAAATGTCTCTGTCGCAGGGCACCTTAGTGCCTGCTCCTAGAGAGTAGAAACTGCCAGCAACCAGAGGGGCAGGAGCTCGGAGGTGAGTGATGCAG